GTCGTATTGAGAGGTACAGATAATAGGGAGGCAGAGATTTCCCTTGTCCTTTGTAGGTACTGATAAGCATATTCACAAACCTGAGGGCTTTTTGAATAGGTAAGCTGTGAACTTTGAAATACTATTGACTTTAATATTTTCTCTTTAATATTTTCCTTATAATTTGTATCAGTTATCTACTGTTATCTAACCCCGATCTTTAGCTCCCCTCTTAGAGACTTAGAAAGCTGTAATAGGAGATGGAACCACCCCATTTGCTAACAAACCCACAAAGACAAATTTCTGGGTTTTCATTTCTGCATGAGGCCTGCCTCTTTACAGATTGACTGAAATCAGAGATCCTCAACACCACAAAATTTTGTCCTCATTCTTCCAAACCTCAAAACATATACCCACCAATACCAACAGGCCCCAAATCCTTCAGAACATAGAGATGGGAATAGAAAGGAATGCACTCTTTAAATCATATTGCTCTCTTGCGTAACAGTTAAAATCTCGCTATACTAATGATATCCAATTAGCTTTTGCAATACCAGTGGGTCTTTAACCATTAAAACAAAAATCAGAGGGCTGGGGAGATGGCTCAGTAAAATAAGTGCTTCCTTGGCAAGCACAAGGGCCTGAGTTCAATCCCCAGTTTCGCAAAAAGAAAAGAGAAAGAAAAGAAAAATTCTGGGCTGGGGACATAACTCAGCGGTCAGTGCATACTTTACATTTCAAGACCCTGGCTTCAGTCCCCAGTACTGCAAAACAAAACAAAATTTCAAAACTTTGTCGTTTGTTTGAGACAGGGTCACACTAAGTGGCCCAGGTGGACTTCAATGTGTGATCCCCCTGCCTCAGCTTCCTGCGTGCTGGGGTACAGGTGTGTGCCACCTGCCCAACCAAAAATTTGGAACAATTTTTATAACTACAAAATATTTTAAGAAAGTATTCATAAAATCACACTTACAAAACACAGGAGTAGCCCTTATTTGAACTTACAAAATTAAGAGTATGCATTCAACTAGCAGTCTATGAAATTACTTACGTACATATGAAATAGCTAAAATACTAAATGAGTTTATCACCTTGAGAGTAAATTTTAATTTTGGGAAATAACTACTTTATAAACGAAAATAGACACAGCAGGACCTCACCAGGATTCACTCATTACAACCTGAAAACTGTAGTGCTCTTCTAAGAATTGGCTGTAGCAATTCTCCAAACGATACCTACTTTAAATAAACTCACTGAATCCACTTATAAATTATTTTCCTTTTGCTGTCTCATTATTCAATATGCTTTCAAGGAACATGGTGATGAAAGAAGAAAATACCTCTTTCTAACATAACCATACTGGCAAGAACATCAACATTATCAGTATTCAAAGAATGTCTTGGCAGGTTAAACCTTCATAAAAAAAAGGAACACTGTCTAATCCAAGTCATCAAAATAGCAATAGTACTTCTCATATTATGTGCAATATGATTGTTTCTAACGCAGAAAAAATAAAACCCCTGATAGTGTTAAAATTTTAAACACAAAGATTCTTCACAAAAGCACATAAAAAATGATGAAAGTAAGGTATTAAAAGAAACAGGCTAACAGCTGAATACAACTCAGTAACCAAGGAGCTTTATGATAACATGTCAGTGTTGTATTGGAAGGTTTAACAGTGTATTTTAACATTTTTAGACACAATAGGACTATTAAGAAATGTAAAAAAAATAATAATCTATACTAATAGAGAAAAGCTTACAGACAGAGTGCTTGTCCAACTTCAGGACATGATCTCCTTATGTAATAATTAATATTTAATATTATCACTTTTCATAATTTAAAATTACTTAACTATTATCATAAATTACTATCACAGTAAAATTATCAGTATACTCTCTAAGATTTAAATCTGAAATTCATAAGGCCATAAAGGGACTTGGATTTGCTCAATGTGAGTTCAGGTACACTGTCCTCTGAAAATAAAATATATTACAAAAGACTTCTTTCTGTTCTCAAAAGAAAACATCTACGTTGACAGTCTTAACATTGGTTGAGAAAAGGATACAAATGTTCAAAAAGACATATATTTGACTTTGAGTGAATAAGATGCCCTCGTAGTGGACATGAGGGTGATGTGGCTGTGACATGTGACTCCCCATTGATCTCCAGCATCAAGTAAGCTGATCTGGCTGGCTGGTGGGTGTCCCTTCTTCACCATGGCTCCAAGTTTACCCCTCCCAAAGCTGCATGCAAAGGGGATACACCCCCCCCCTGGCAGATTTCCTCATATTCTCTCAAATACTTTTGATATGTTCATTTTCATTATGTGATGCAATAACTGTTTGTGTATTACATTTTCCCTTATTAAAATTTTTTTAGTTGTGTTCAGTTTTCTTTCACAAATACATGATGGCTGTTTCTCCTCATATTTTTCCATTTTCATGTTTCCCTTCCTGATCATTCTCTCCTGACCATAGTGCTGACTTGAGAACAATGAAACTCCAGAGGTTACAGGGTCATTTATATTAGCAGGGTGAACCTCCACCCATCAACATCCTGTGGAATCACAGTAATGTAGAGTTGGAAGGGGACCCTGAGGTACCACTTGGTTGAACTCTTTGCGAAATGGAACAGGTGGTTAGTTGTTCCTAACATTTTCTCTTTAAGAGGACCCAAGATTTTTATTGTAAACACTTCATGGAAGATAGAATCTTCTTTCTTTCTTTCTTTCTTTCTTTCTTTCTTTTTTTTTTTTAAGACAGTCTCACTTTATGTGCAGGCTGGCCCAGTTTACTACATAGGCCAGGCTGGCCTTTCACTTGCTGATCCTCCTGCCTTAATCTGCTAAATGGTGGGATTATTGGTATGCACCACCATGCCTGGCTAGAAGAATCTTAATAAGTAAAAAGACATGGAGTAGAAAGAAAAATGGATCAAAATAGGATCTGACTGAAGTACTACTGCTTACTGAAAACCATGATTTTTTTTAAATAAAAGAAAAAAAATAAAAATGATAAGAGCTTCAAAACAAGATAGGAAACTGCCAACGGTTTTTCAAGCAGTTGCTCAAATTACCAAACAGAGGCATGCAAAATTGATCAAAGAAGCATTAACTGTTCCTTTCAATAAACTAATAAAAATTAGTAGTACAATTACCTTAGCTATCTTGTATATATTTTCTTTTCTGTAATGATCCTTGTCAGTTTTGGTAGCAGGTAGCTATTATCACTAGTATCAAGGCCCCTCCAGGAAAAAAGTCTGTACTTCAGGCTATCTTCTGTGTGCACGAAATTCTTGGTTTGTTTCTGTCCCAAGATCCTACCTTCCCAATTAACTGACAATGGGACGCTGGTTTCTGTTTGAATCAGTTCCCTATCTTTTAAAAAGGTGTAGGGTTGTGGTGACGTTATTACATCAGACTTTCCCAATATTGTTATACAAGGGAGAACAACTGACTACAACAGATATGACATCCTAGCTACAGTAGTACAATTAGCAATAATGATAAAAAGCACAATTTAGAAACCAACAAACTGGCAACTATTGATTTTATAATTTAGACCATAGGAGCAAAGTTTGTAGTTATATGAGGGAACTGTGCACTGCCCTGAGCTTCCAATTCCTCATATAAATAGAGATAATAGTGTTTATCACAAAGTTGTAACTCCCAAAGTTATTCCAAGTATTCTGAAATCTGAAAAAAAAAAAAAAGGATATAAATCTAATGAAATATTAAAATAGAAAGGAAAAGTGTAAAGAACCTGTACAGCTCCTGGCTCCAAGACCACTCCACTTCATTTCTTTCATTTTTCAGAGAGGGGCTATTAAAGGAATTCATCATGTTGTTTGTTGAAATCTTGGGGATACGAAAGGTCTAAATGGTTTCTGATACTCTGTTTTGGCCCACACTCTATATGGATACCTTGAAATACATAATGGAGGGGGAACAGGACCACACAGTGGCTTGGAATCCTGCTGAGGAGTAGAAGATTAACATTTAACAAGGAGCCGTACAAAACCAGGATTGTTACTAGGTACATTAATTACTCTTCTATAGTAATAACCAAGTAAGGTAGATCTTAGGTCAGTTTTGCAGTTGTCCAGTGAATTGAACTCAAAGAACTTTACTTCATGTTACACAACTAGTGTTGAGATGGCATTTGAAGCTTCGCTTGCTATGGACAGTACAGTTGCATTTATAAAAAGAAGCACTCAAACACTTCTTGTATTAAAATATCTTTGCAAGAATCACTGATCTTAAGATATTAATACAGGTACAATTAGATTTCATATAGGTTCTAGATGATTAATTAAAGATGTCCTGGGCTGGTCAGATAGCTCAGCGGACTAAAGCGCCTGCTTAGGCAGAGAGCAGTCCCACTCTGGGGCAAGTTGAGACAGAATTTGAGACTGGGTATGGTTGTGCACACCTGTAATCCTAGCACCTGGGAGGCTGAAAACAGGAGAATCACTACAAATCCAATCTACATAGTGAGACCCTGTAGACCTGGTACCAAATACATAAAAAATAAAAAAAAAAAGAAAGGTTGTGCTTCATTTAATGAAGATGAAAGTGAATCAACATGGATTATATATTTAAAAAAAAAAACACACACACACACACAGCTTGTCCTCGGGCTGCTATAACAAAATATTGTAAACTGGGTATCTTGTAAACAACATAAATTTATTTCTTATATTTCTGGAAGCTAGAAAAATCCAAGACCAAGGTTCCAACAGGCTTGGTAAGAATTCTCTGGTACACAAACTGTACTCATGGGTTCTCAGATGGCATAAAAGAGAAGACAGCTCTAAGAGCACCGATGCCATACATTAGATCTCATGATCTAATCACCCTGAAAGGCTCTAGCTCCTACTACCCTGCTTTTCCACAAATAAAAGGGTGGGGTGGGGGAGTGGTGTGTCAGTTATTAGCATATATTTAACTGATATGGATGAAATACATTATCCCATTATATCATACACCAAAATAAATCTCATCAAATATAATAGCTTACCTTATTATGTACAAAAATAATCCTTAAGTCAGGCTTAATGATACCATAGCTTATGAGCAGATCATGGATCTTTTTTAGTTCATCTTTACATTTTTTAGCAGTTGAGTAAAACTGCTTTCTTACAGGCAGATTCTTAAATAATCTTAAAGCAGTTACAGTTGTACCTGTTGGCAGATAAAAAGGTACTTAGATTTGGAAGAAATTTTACACATCTTCAAATTCATATTCAAATCTATACAGTCAGTAAAGAACCTAAAAGCACACCCTCCAAGTGTGATAACCCAAGGAAGGTTCATCTTTGCGAACCACTCAGATCCCTGGCTAGATTCTATCTGTACCTGCTAAGTATACAGTCTAAATAGGGATAATTTTATTTGTACCAGGGTAGAGAAACATGGGCTCATCAGAATGCAGTATCTTTTTTCTTTTCTTTCTAGTACTGAGGCTTTAACCCAGGGCTTCACTCAGGCCAGGCAACCTCTACCATTGAGTTATATCCTCAGATCTTTTCTTTATTTTATTTTGAAACAGGATCTTGCTAAATTGTCTAGGTTGACCTTGAACTTGTGATCTTCCTCTCTCACTATCTGAAGTAGCTTGGATTCCAGGCATGAGCCATGTAAGAATTCAGGTTAAGAAACCTGAGATTAAAAGATGCAGAAACAACTCTAGACATACTTAGCCATCTTATCTTTTATTTATTCATTTTTTTTTTTTTTTTTTTAAATTTAGTACAGGGTCTAGAGGGTCTCACTACACAGACTGGACTTGTAGCGATTCTCCTGTTTTTAGCCTCCCAAGAGCTGAGATTATAGGTGCATGCTACCACGCCCAGGTTTACTTGCTGTCTCAGCACACCCCAGGGGTGGGGCTGGCACAGCAAGGGGGGGTGATTGAACTCCAGCCTCTGCGCTCTGCCTAAGCAGGCGCTTTAATCTGCTGAGCTATCTGGCCGGCCCTGCCATCTTTGACAAAGGTGCCAAACACATCACTAGAAGAAAGATAGCGGCTTTAATAAATAGTGCTGGAAAAACTGTATTTGCACATGCACTAGCTAAATCTGAAATGGATCAAAGATCTAAATATTAAAACAAACACTAAATCTTCTGGAAGACAGACTAGGTAGAACTTGTGAAGACAATGGTGTAGGCAAAGACTTTATGAACAAAACCCTGATCACACAAAAACAATTGGGATCTCATCTTATGGAAAAGCTTTTGCACACCAAGAGAAACTACCAACAGACAACTTACTGTGTGGGGAAAAAAATTTAGCCAATTCTCCTTCAGACAAAGGACTTTGTCTAGAATATATAAAGAACCCCTAAATTCAAAGATCCAATCCAAATTCAAATAATCCAAAAATGTGCAGCCAAAAATGGGCATCTGAGATGAATACATACTACTCAGATGAGAACACAAATAAATACATGAAAAAATGTTCAGCATTACCGGTCACTGGAGAGATGTAAGTTAAAACAACGAGATTGCATCTTATCCCACAAAGAATGGCTATTATAAAGAATAACAATCAATAACAAATTCTGGCAGTTCTGTGGGGGAAACGGAGTACAGACTGGTGTAGCCACTGTGGAAATGAGTATGGCAATTCCTCAAAAAACTAGGACTAGAGGTCCCATTTGACCCAGCTATTGCCCTTCTGGGAATCCTCCCAAAAGAATTAAAGGCATTGGCTGGAGAGATGGCTCAGTGGATTATGCGCTTCCCTGGCAAGCGCAAAGACCTGAGTTCAATCCCTGGCTCCGCCAAAAAAAAAGAATTAACGGCATCATACCACAGCAGTATATGCACACCTATGTTTATAGTGGCACAATTTGTAATAGCCAAACCTTAGAAACAGCCCAAATGCCCAACAATTGGTGATGGAATAAAGGATTTTTTATACAACAGAGTATCACTCCTCCATAAGGACGGAGAAACTTCATACATTCCTAGACAAATGGATACACCTTAAGACCACACTCTTAAGTGAAAAAAACTGGACACGTGTAAATACTGCATTGTTCTCTGGTGTGATAAACTGAAAATATAAATAAGGACCAAAATGCATGTTAGGTATTATGAAATAGGAAGAAAATATTCAAATGGGGAGAAGAACAAAAGAGGGGGAAAGGAAAGACAAGTTAAAAAAGGAGAAAAAAAGGAAAAAATGAAACAAAGCTTTTGTAAATGGGGAAGGGAGGAGGAGGGAAGAGAATAAAAAGAATCAAGTTATATCAGGGACAGGTACAAATTCTCTATAATGGATGTGACCATTTTGTATATCTAAAATGTGCCAATAAAATGTGATTTAAGAGCTGCGGAGATAACTCAGCGATCTAAGTACCTGCCTGGGCAAGCACACGGACCAGGGTTTGATACCCCATACCACATGCCCTGCCAGCCCCACCCCAGGCACTCCAAGCTGGCCACCAAGACCAGGTATGGTGGGCATGCCTGTAATACCAGAGCAGGGGAGGCTAAAACAAGAGTACCACTACAAGTCCAAGCTGCATAGTGAGACCCTGTACCAAATACATAAAAGTTAAAAATTAAAGTTTAAAAATGTGATTAATGAAAAAGAAACCTGCTGATATTTACCACCTGGAGATACTTATTTACAAGAATATACAATATATGGGATAACCTTAATTATATCACTAAAATTTCTTAACTGAACTAGTATCTAGGAACTTGATTTTGTTTACCCAACTTCAACAACAAACATTCAAATCACAAGGCTGTCAAACTAAAAAGCTGAATAAAAATTATACTGGTTAACAATTAGGTTAAAAAGTAGCTTTTATTTTAAAAAGTTACGTGAAGTGAAGACTAAATGGTTGAATGGCCATATGTGACAGGCATGTTTCTTATCCTTCTTGGCTTTTTGAGACAAAGTCTGGCCGTACAGCTCAGGCAGGCCTTCAACTTGCAGCAATCCTTTTGCTGTAGCACTCTGAGTGTTGAGATTGCAGGCATATGCCATTTTGCCCTCTTCTTTGTTTTTTAAAAGTAAATCAAATCTCACCAGCAAATCTCACACTTGTTAAATAAGTCTCCTTATGTGATGCTAACATACCTACACAGCCAAAGCTTAAAACCATGCACTGAAGAGGAAAGGGGGGTGGGAGAGACAGATAATTTAGGTCCCTGGCTTCCCATCTTGCCACGTAAGACCACGCCCTCCTTTATGTGAATCCACTAAATTGATGTCCTCCACCATGAGATCCCTGCCAGAGTCCCGATCCTCCTAAACTAAATCAACCCTTTTAAAGTTTCCTGGCTTCACATTTTGTTTCTGTAGAAACAGAAAACAGAATATAGTTGATACCAAGGAGAGGAATCATGTCTAAAACTGTGAAAGCAACTGGGTAATAGGCAAAGCCTGAAAGAGTTTAGAGGAAAAATAAAGAAATGCTGTACGGCATTCTGGATATGACTCAAAAGATGAGTAGACTAGCCTTAGACAAAAAAGTAGATTCTGTGGGAAATCAGAAAAACCACCCATGTAATACCACTGTAAAAAAGGGAATACAAACCTGTTCACTTTATGAGGTCAGCTTCAAGAATGATAGACTAATGGCTAGTGATGTAGAGCGTTTTTCATATATTTATTCACTTCTTTAATTTCATCCTCTGAGAAATGTGTGTTTATCTCGGATGCCCACTTCTGGATTGGGTCTTTACATTTAGGGGCCCTAATGTTTTTTAGTTCTTTATAAATTCTAGAGAGCAGACCTCTGCCTGAGTGCTTATTAGATACATTTTTTCAAAATTTGTGGGTTGTTTTTTCACTTTGTTGGCAATTTCTTTTGACATGCAAAAACTTCTCAATAAGAGACGGTCCCATTTGTTAATTCTTTCAAGTACTACCTGTGCGATTTGATTTTTGTTCATAAACTCTTTGCCTACCCCTATGTCTTCAAGAGTTCCTTCTACTTTCTCTTCCAGAAGATTGTGTTTCTGTTTTAATGTTTAAATCTTTAATCCATTTTGAACTAAGCTTAGTGCATGGTGATAGACCTGGGTCAAGTTTGAGTTTTCAGCATGTAGAGAGACAGTTTTTCCAGCACCATTTGTTAAAGAGGCTATCTTTCTTCCAGTAAGCATGTTTGGCCCCTCTGTAGAAGATCAGGTGGCTGAGTGCATTCACTGAGGCCTCTGTATCTTCTAATCTATTTCATTGATCCTCAGGTCTATTTCGTTGCCAGTACCATGCTGATTTTACCACAGTAGCTTTGTAGTATAATTTCAAGTCAGGAATTGTAATGCCTCCTGCCAGACTTGTTGGCCAGGATTTGAAATGCAAATTAAAACAACAGAGATACCATCTCACCCCAGAAAGAATGGTTAGCATAAAGAAATCAACCAACAACAAATGTTGGAGAGGCTGTGGGGAAAGGGGAACCCTTCTCCACTGCTGGTGGGAATGTAGACTCGTGCAACCATTATGGAAATCACTGTGGAGACTCCTTTAAAAACTAGGACTGGAAATCCCATTCAAGCCAGCTATCCCCCTACTGGGAATTTTCCCAGGGAATCTGAAAACATCATATCATAGTGATATATGCGTACCTATGTTTATAGCAGCACAATTTGTGATGGCCAAATCTTGAAAACAACCAAGATGCCTGTCACATGAGGAATGGTTGAAAAAGATGTGGTATTTTTATACAATGGAGTAAATATTTTTATATTTACTCAGCTATAAAAAATGATAAGCTTGAAGCATTTATATTTAAGTAGATGCCAAATGAAGATCTACACATAAGTGAAATAAAAGCCAGACCCACATGTATAAATATGGTATAGTCTCCCTAGTATAAGAACTCAAAAGAAGAAATACAAATAGGAATAACACAATTAAAAGGAAAGTGAGAACTTGAGGATTGGACAATGAGGAGAGGGCAAGGAGAAAAGCAGGGAAACATGACAAGGGCAAAGACATACATTGATACGCACAAGATGGGCAAGGCAATGATCCTGAGAAACATCAGCAGGTTTTTTAAACTGGCAGTTAATTGGTAGGATTCTCACCCTGACTAATTATACATGCTGACACCCATGCACTGGGCAACTGCACTGAAGACAGCAATGTGTAATAAAAGGGTCACACTTGGAATGCCTGTCATTCTGGTCTTTTAAATATGTTCTTCTTGTCATGA